TCTCACCGACATCTTGCTCCATCATAGAATTCCATAGTTTTGTGTTCCATTTCTTCCACAGACTCCACATGATCATAACAAAGGCAAGGGTTCTTTTTCATCATCCAAAGTCCTGCAATGTTTAGATACCAGTTCTTAATTTAAATGAATCCACATTCAGTGAAAGAAGTTCAATTCAATTCCATAATCCAATATATAATCTAAATCGAAATGTTGCTCGGACAAGTAAAGAATATGTGACAGTAGTTTTCCAAATCCTCTTCACATAAAACACAAATAGTTGGGCATGAGATGCCACGCCTTTGCATTCTGATACGAGTGTGAAGGCAATTTCCACAAGGAAGAGCCAAGAAACACTTTATGAGATTAAAAAATATGAAATTAAAAAAAAAATCTAAAAATATTAGTATACTGCTGTTAACAAGAAACAGTTAAAACTTAAAAATATTTTTATTGAAAAATTTCTAAAAACATTCTCATTTTAATAAGGATTATCCTAATTTATATATAAAAAGAGATACATAAAGGATTATTATTGATAATTTCTCATTTTAATAAGGATTATCCTAATTTATATATAGAAAGAGATACATAAAAGATTATTATTGATAATTTCTTTTAAATAATATTAAATTAAATTTATAAAATAATATATATATATATATATATATATATATATTATATTTAGCTTATATATGTTTTAGGTCCAAGTAAATATTACAAAGTTCTTAATATTATTTTTAACTCTAATTAGTTTAGTGTTGATATGATTAGCAAAATAAAAATATTAATTAAGCTGATTAAAGTATCAAAGAATAGTTTAAATTCATATAATTATATTTTTTTAGGTTGATAAATTAATTAAGTAACATATTTATTATTTTGTATAGATAAAGTAATTACATATAATTTTATTTTAAAATTTTAATATATTATGAAATGCTTTTTTATTGTTTTTAATATTTTTCTTATTTTTCAATTCACTAATTTAATTTTTACATTGTACCGTCTTTCTTCAAAAAAAAAAAAAAACTTAATTAGAAAATTATAATTTACTTTAAATATATTACTTCGATTTAAATACAACACATATATATATTTTATGATTTTGTTCCGTATAAAAATTTATTTTATAGTTTTAGTTCTTCTCACTATTATTGACGTAACAATCATCCAGAAAAAAAAAACAAAGACTATAATATTTTTTTTAGAAATTCGTTTATAAAGACTTAAAAAATAATATTAAAGATTAAAATTATAAAATAAAATTTTATGAGTAGCAAAATGGACATTTTTTTTATAAGAATTAAAAATATATTTAAATCTAATAATTTTAATTTCACTTAAATATATTTTTAATCTTTATATAAAATAAATTTTTTTGATTTTGGTTCTGTAATTTTTTTATTTTATTTTTTATCCTTTTAAAATCTAGAATTATTATTTTTAGACCAGATAATTATGTAATCAATTTTATTTATTTATTTATTAAAAGGTTAAATAATAATCTTAAGTGTTGTTTATAATTATAAACGATATTATATTAGTGTATGATATTTTTAAAATATATAAATATTTAAAATAAATATTATTTATTTACCTTAAAATTAGGTGTTTAAAATTAAATTAACCAAAACCAAAAACAACAAACCAATAAAAAGACCATAAACCAATGAAAAACTCCAAAATTTGGATTAGTTTTTAAATCTTTAAAATTGTTTTGTTTAGCTCAATTTTTGGATTGAAATATGAAAACTCTCCAAATTAAATTAAATCGCAGTTATTTACAAATATATTTTTTTTCTAAATACATAATACTGGTATACAAACAAAAAAATTGTAAAAACTAAAATAATATAGAATATATTTACATGAAATTAAAACATATTAATTTTTTCACCGCTAAATCAAAATGATATATTGATATTGATAAGTATTAGGAAAAAAAAATCCCAAAAAGTGTTCTTGTAAAAAAATAGTGAGATGAGCATATAACTATCGTTTTTAATATACAACGTGGATATCACAATTTATTATAAAATATTCAATATTAATTAATTTATTGATTTTTTTTGTTAATTTTTAATATATTTTTTACGTTTTGGGAAATAGAATAATATATATATATTTCCAAGACAGAATAGTAAAGATTTTTGTGTTTCATAATTTTCAAAAAAATACATTGGGAATTTTATATTTTTCTAAAAAATTATTACTTCCTACTGTTTAAGTAAATAGTATTTTATTCTAAAAAGTGGTGAGCTTTCTCAAGAATGATAAATAATTCTTTAAAATGTCAAATTAATCTTTGAATTTAACTATTTATTTTGATTATATCTTAATATTATTACTTTAGTCATATTTTTTTTATATTTTGAACTTATGTGATTGTTAGCTTATATTTTTAGAAAATTATTTGACATTATCTCAATTTATGAGACTAATTTATTAACGTTTTCTATACTTAAGGATCAAAATAACTATTTACTCATTTAAAATATAACAAAAAAAGAATTCATATATATATATATATATATTAATCTTATATATAAGTAAATGTATCGATTAATTTTTTCTAATGTTATCTCCTAAATATTTTCTACTTTGTTAATATTTTTATATTATAATCTAATAAAGGATGATTTTAAAAAAAATATTTTTTTAAAGAGTTTAATGATTAGTGATAGTCTAAAATATATCATTCTATAAATCAATCACAATTCATCATTGATATGATTTTTTAATTATTTATTATAAAAAAAATAAACAAGTCTATCATACATAATATTCGCTATGTCTAAAAGAAATTGGTAAATTGATAGGACAAAATGCACTTAAACAATAATTAATTAAAACTATGAGGATAAACAATAAAGGTTACATCTGCTCTAAAAAGTAAGGCAAAAAAATAGTAAAACAACATCAAATACTCTAATGTTCTCACAAAGACATTCCAAAATTAGCTAATTTGCTAACTACTTGATTATCTTCAAGCTAAACATGAGATCAATGTAAGTTACCATCAACTCCAATAAAAGGTGAGATATTTTGAATTAGACTAAAACAAGGGTGGTAAGAGGCACATCCATTAATCAATAGTGATGTTACATTCATAAAATCAGACTTCACAATAAACTTTGTAAACTCTTTGGAAGTGTTTAATATTTTTACATTTTTAAAAATCTTAAAATGAGAATCTTAATTTTTCATGTTCGGTAGCTATTTAAAAAAAATCTCAAAAATATGATTTCTTGAAAATTATTTTTATCTCACTTTTTCAAAAAACATTCTTAATAAGAGGTAGAAATCCAATTTTCCCTTATTAAGGAAAAGAATTATATATATATAAAAATATTACAGTATCTATTTTTAAAATAAAAAATATCTCTCTCGTTCTATTTCTTTTGTTCCTTGTCTCTCTTATTCCCCTTCTCTTTCCCTCTCCTTCTCCCCCCCTCTCAATTTCTTCCTCTTCCTCTCCATCATTTTATTTCTCTTTCTCCCTCTTTTTCTTGTTCTCTGTTTCTCAAACTCTCACTCCCCTTCTGTTATCTCTCTCTCTCCTTTCCATATCTCTGTTCCTCTTCCTTTCTTATATCTTATTATTTCTTGATCATGTTAATTTTAATAATATTATTAAAATTTATTTTATTTGTACATTTTAATAGTATTTGTTAACGCTTATTTATCTATTTTTTATTTAAATGAAATAAAATAAATATATATAATGAGTTTACTTTAATAAAGAATATTTTTATAAAAAATATTTATAAATTTAATAATATATTATTATAATCAAACATGAAAATATTTAATTCCTAATAATTATATATAAATATTCTTATAAACTTTTATAAATAATCAAATATATTTTAACTATTTTCAAAAATTACCATATTTGATATTTGTAATTTTTGAAAATCATAATTTATGATTATAAAAAAATTTCTCTCCTACTAAACACTACCTTTATTTCACGCAACACAAATCGCAATGTAAATGAGCCACAACTCCACATGAAGAATTGAGCAGAATCCAATATTAGCAGCATAGGAGAACAAAATCGCACCCCTATAATCCCGTAAAACACCTCCAGCAGTAGACTTTCGAGTATTTAAACAGACTGCAACATCACAATTTAATTCATAATAAACAGGAGGAGGGTGGATCCAATGAATTGGAGGATCAGGACTTTCAATAGCACCAACTGTTACCAAGCCAAAAAGTTGTAAACACCCAACAACAATTGCATCCACACGAGCTACTATGCGCAATCTAATTTCAGGGGGGGTTTTAAGCCCAAATTTTGAAACACATTCATTTCTGCATTGCCACAAAACGTCCAACGTGACTACGAAAATCCGATACCAAATTCGGCCCCAAAACTTGGCATTTGCAGCAGCCACAAGCCTATTTCCAGATTAAAAAACGAATTATGCTTTGACCAAGGTAACAGAAAAAACCAAACCGCTCTAGCTAGATGGCAATGTCTAAAAACATGATCAAGATTTTTAGAATCACCCCCACATCTAACACAAGATGGGTCATTGGTCAAATGCCTCACACTTCTTATAACATTAGTTAGCACTTCTTATAGCATTAGTTAGCAGGGAATTACCAACAAAACTGATGTGTGTAGTGTTATTATTTTGCATATAAAAACTTTAAACGTACATCAGTCATTCTCTTAAATTTTGATTAGTATAATTAAAATATAGTTCCACTGCGGCAAATTTGATTAATCAAGGTGCTCTCCATAAATTGTGAACAAGTATTAGAGCATGTGAGCATGCACTCTGAGACACGGCGATAGGTTAAATAATGGAATACAAAAAATATAAATATTGTTTGATAAAAGAAAAAAGAAAGAATAAAATATAAATATTGGGAAGCTGGCAAAGGTGTTAATAGTAAATGAGAAAGGGACAAAATAGGGAATGTCAGAGTAACACGCGCACCCAATTGTAACTTCCCACGTCGCCTCAATATTCAGTAAACGGAGTTCGTTGGTAGAGAGAGAGAGAGAGTGCAACAAAAGACCCCTTTTAAATACCCAACACTGACACACACAAACGACGCATCCTTCTCTCTCTCTCTCTCTCGGCTTTGATTTCTCTCTCTCTCCTCGATCCCAAATCCACTAGGGTTAGGGTTCCATTACTCTTATCTCCTTTTCAATTCCTGCTTTCTCTTTAATCTCCTCTCCTATTCGGTTACTAATAATCCTTTTCCGTTTTCATTATTTAAATCCAGGATTCATTTCCGATGCGATACTGAGCTTATTGGATCCACCACCACGTTTCGTTTCCCAGATTCTTCTGTACAAAATTCTTCCCCTCGCCAATAGGTTAGAATATCGTTATTTCTCTCGCAATTTTCACTTCCGCGACGTGTCTATGTGTTGATTCGTTCCTAATGATTTCGCCTCTTCTAATTGTCTTTTATTGTGCGAACAATTTGAGTTTATAGTTTGGTGGAAATAATCGGTCTTTTTTGCAGATATGGACAGCGATTAGAGACGTAGGCTCTTTTTTCTCGCATACCATGTCGATGTTTTGTGAAATTTACATTCAATTTTTTGAAGTTTTCAGTGATGAGAGTCAATAGTGTGGTGTTTGAATTCTGCTCGTATCATGTGATTGGCTTGTGTTACTGTTCCGGCCACGGATTATGTGCCTCTTTGTTCCTATTTAAAATAATCGAGGCGTGAATGTTTTTGTGGTGTTTTGTTCTGTTTCTCTTATGTATGAGGTTTTGGTCGTAGTTTTTTATTTTTATTTTTTTATTATTATTGTTGGTCAATAGGTAGGTGATGATTCGTATTTTTAAAATTTCCGCAAATTTTGTTGTTGAATGTTTCGATGTGTTGGTGATGGTTAGTTTTTCGGAAGAAGGTTTTCATGTTGGTCAATAGAATATTAGAATTCATATTCAATTCTGGTAAATATAGTGGCGACTTTTAATTGTATATTATTGTCTGGGAAGGCTTGTGGTTTGATGCTTCGACTGAGCAGGTCTTGGACAGTAGTTGAACTGAGGAATCATGTTTGCATGTGAAAAAATATCTGTCTGATAACACTGAAAACAGGGCTAGCTAGGGACAACAACCACTCCACTGCTCACTGTTATCTTATTGATTTGGGCATCTTCAACTATAGTAATCTCTTTTTTTGCTTGATAAGGAGGTTTAACTCATTTCCAAAGGGTCGATTCTATAAGGGTAAAGTGGTACCTCTAGCTGTGACTCCATGTCCAAGCTGGGAATTGAACCTTAGTCCTTGGTTTAGGGACATGAGTGTCTAATCACTTGTCTAATGACCTTTTGATCTATCTTAATTTTTTAACACGGAGTGTTGTGAATTTATTATTGAGAATAAATATGATATTTATTGTATGCATTAATATCTTCTATATTGTGTTTATGGTACATTTTAATTGAAATGGATTTGCAGTATAAGAATTTTATCACTATGCTATGTCAATGTGCAATCACTTAGTGCCTAAATTTGTAACAGTGCTCTGATTTTTTTTTATTTTTTTATTTTATTTGATGCTCAGGGGATAGGGTGGTGGATTGAGTTAAATTGCTCTTTTTATAGGTCTAGGAAGTCATTTTGTGATATAGTTTTTCAGTTATGCTTTGATCAGTTGACATGCTCTCAAGTCTCAGTATTTTTTGCTATTTTTTATGGGTTCACTTTTTTCTTAAACTACAACTACATTATAAATTTTGGGGTTTCTCTATTTATGCAATTTGGTATAATCATTCTTAAAGAGGAGCAAGGCACCTTCACTCTGTTATTTCTTTTTTAAGTGAATGGATCTGCTCAGAAGCTTATTTTGCCAATATTGTTGCCTTGATAAATTGGATTACAATCATGGTTTGATACTAGGTTTGCTTTGGAGTGGCTGTATGTTTATTATAAATTTGTGAGGACACGAACTAAGATGTTCTATATTTGAAAATCTTTGGTGCAGGAAAATTGGAAAAACATGGACCATGACAAGACTGGATGCCAAGCTCCTCCTGAGGGTCCTATATTGTGCATCAACAACTGTGGATTTTTCGGAAGTGCAGCAACCATGAACATGTGTTCTAAATGTCACAAAGACATGATGCTGAAAGAGGAGCAGGCCAAGCTTGCAGCATCATCCATTGGGAATATTATGAATGGGTCATCAAGCAGCACTGGAAATGAACCTGTTGTTGCTGCAGCTAATGTTGATATTCCAGTTATTTCAGTAGAGCCTAAAACTGTCTCTGTGCAACCTTTATTTGGTTCAGGTTCAGAGGGGAGTGGTGAGGCAAAGCCGAAGGATGGTCCAAAACGTTGCAGCAGCTGCAACAAGCGAGTTGGTTTGACAGGGTTTAATTGTCGATGTGGCAACCTTTATTGTGCTGTACATCGCTACTCAGACAAACATAGTTGTCCATTTGATTATCGCACTGCCGCTCGGGATGCCATAGCTAAAGCAAACCCAGTTGTCAAGGCTGAGAAGCTTGATAAGATATAAGATTTGGAATTGAAGTTTCATGCCTTGAGAACTCTATTTCATCATGAAATGACCCAAGTTTCCTGCACATTTTATTGGTGTTCTTATTATATTGTTATATGTGGTGGGGGGACTTGGAGTTATAAGACATCTCTGCAATTTGAAGGACTCTTTCATGTGATTGGCGAAAATATATATGTTGGCCAGTGTTTTAAGTTTTTAAATCTGTGCTGGTTTGGTGAAAGTTGGTGTTGTTAGCTTTGTAATGCATCTATTCTGTATCAGAATGGTATGTGCAATTTAAAGATGGTTTCAGGAGCATCCATGGACATGTGGTTAGATTGTAATTATTGTGGGCTATCTAAGAATTATTTTCGATAACAGTATCTTGTTAACTTTGGGCATTTTCATATGCTAGAATTACAAGAGTTTGGTCTACATGATCACTAATTTAATATAGTAAGTACCAAAGAAAAGAAAAATTGATAAAGTTGGGTTAATATTTAGCGAGTTTAGAACCGGCTGAATTCGTACTTATATATGTTATGCGTTGACAAGGTTAAACTCTTACAGTTAGACTCACCTCTAATTGTTTGCTGAATTTTACTCCCTTGGTTCTCTACAGGTTTCCATGTTTCTATTCAAACCAAATGATGGTGCAGATAAATAGAAATATATATTCATATCCATCTTTCTTAAGAAATATCTATAGCTAAAATCAGAAGGGATATTTTGGCCAAATTCGAGGGAGATGTTGGCAAGATTAGGATTTCAGTAAACTTGGGCTCGAGATTGTTAAAATCTCATCACTTAAGTCCAAAGCTCATGACTATCTCAATGCCTTGTTGAAATAGATAAAGAAACGACATTCATGAACAGGAGTCTTGTCCCAGGCATCAAATCCTACCGGATAGAAATTAATGGATCTTCCTTTGATTTTTAGGCCAAAGGTATTACACATGTGTTTCCGTTCTTATATTCTGGCAAAAGCTTATATTGCATGTTTGGAGTTTTTTTTTTTTTTTTTTTTTTTTTTTTTTGTCGATTTCTCTCCATAACACCTCTGTTCGGAGAACATGCTCTGCTGTCAAATGAATGTCAAGATATTTTCTTTGCTAAGGTGGATGCTAGCAAAATTGGACCGACTTGGATCATATAGAGCCCGTTTGGCCACACTTTTGGCAACAGCGAGACAAATTCTCATTGAACGACATCAACAAAATTTTGCTTTCGTCAAACTCGGTTTCGGCCATTTGCAGACAGTTTCGTAGTCAACACATCAAAATATGCTCTGGTTAAATGTATTTGTGCTATGCGTGTAATTTTACTTACACTGTTCGCAGCACAATAATAATCAATATACAATACGTTCCCCAAGCTCCCCAACCTTACCAATTACCCAAGGAAGTTGTAGTAATAGCCTAGGTTTTCCACTCTTTTATCGTCTGACGGGGTATGTAAGGATTGCTATTTCTTTTTGTCCTTGAGCATGCTTAGATATATTTACTCCTTATATTCATGCTAACGTATATTCATTCATATTTTTCTAGTTAAAATAAGTTAGCAAATTATAAATTGAATCATATTAAAAGACACCCACTGCCACATGGTAATTTGCTAACGTACTTTAATTAAAAAAAATAAGAGAGTATACTTTCACAAATGTTAGTAAGGTTTGTTAACTTGTACTATTTTTTTTTTAAAGAAGTATGTTAGCAAATTATAATTATAATTATCTTAAAATACTTTTAGTTCATTAACTTGTTCTAACTTAAAAAAAATAAATGAGTATATATATATATATATATATATATATACTTACTTGTATAATT